CCAAAGAGAAGAATGTGAGAATAAAATATATGAAGAGTGAAAAACCTAATAGGAGTTCCAGAAAGAGTACAGAGCAAAGATATATTTTCCAGAAATAATGAAAAATACAGGGGGTAGGAAGGGCATCAGAATAAAATAGACATTATTATTGCTGTATGTATATAGGTGACTGTATGACCAATGTGATTCTGCCACCTGTACAATCAGAAAAGTGAGAAATTATACCCCATTTGATTCAATTGTATGAATTGTCAAGATCATTGTACTGTCATGTGTAACTAATAAAAAAAGAAGAAAAATAATAATAATGAAAAATACAAATCACAGATTCAAGAGGTGCAACTTATTTCAAGCAAGATAAGTATTTGTAGGGGCTGAGGTTGTGACTCAGTGGCAGAGCACTTGCCTAGCATATGTGAGGCACTGGGTTCGATCCTCAGCACAACATATAAATAAATAAAGAATAAAGGTACATCAACAACCAGAAAATATTTTTTAAAAAATTTGAAAAAAAGATTAGTATTTTTAAAGCCTATATAAGGCTGGGGTATTTTAACTCAGTGATAAAATGCTTGCTAAACATGCACAACACCCTGGGTTCAATTCCCTAGCACACACACAAAAGAATCTTTATATAGACAGAACACAGTGAAACTGAATAATACCAAAGGATAATAGCAGATCTTAGAAGCAGCCAGAGTGTGGGTTACATGAGCATATGGCCTTTATCAAAATTCATTGATACATCTAATTTCAGATGTATTAAAATATGAAAAAAATTATATCTTTGAATCAATGATATATATGCTACTTACAAGGAAGAATACCTAAAGTCTAAGAATACAAAAAGATTAAAAAGATAAAAATATAATATAATACCATGCAAACTATAAATAGAAAGAATTTGTTTTTGTTTATGTTTTAATTTTTTGTTTTTTTTGTTTTGTTTAATGGCAGAGACGATGCAATGTTTTACCAAACTAGTTCTACGGTCTCCTGATCACATAGACAAACTTCCAGCCACTTGTTTAGGCCATGTGATCAAGTTCTGGCCAATAAGATATGAACAGTAGTGATGGACATTGCTTCCAGGCCTGCCTTCTAAAATACTCTGTGCTTTCTTCCACATTCTCTTCATCCCCTACCTGCAGACTGGATTACAACTCCCAGACATTTTGGCCACTATAATTTTAAGATGGTGGATGGCTGTCAATCTAGTCCCTGAATGAATGCTTGGAGCAGAGCACACTAGCACTTCCACTTCCAACACATGCCAGACTCTGTAATGAACAATGAAATAACTTTTGTTAACTCACTGAGTTTGGGGTCTGTGATTGGCATTTCTAACCCTAACAAATATAGATATTGATAGAGCAAGTGGAATACTGCTATAACAAAAACAGCAACAACAATAAAAATATTTGGCATTAGCTTAGCAACCAGGTGGCTGGAAATTATAATATGCATATTGGAGATTCAAAGGATGTCAATCAATTTGTGTCAGTAAATGAAATTTGTGTTAGGAAAATAGAAACATTTCTAAGTATTTTGAATACAGGGAATTTAATACAGATAATCATTTAAGAAAGGGTCACAAATGATGGAGCAGTGAAAAGAGACGTTAAGATGACTTAAAAAATTAGTAAAACAGGAAGCCACAGGGGCTGAGGATGTGGCTCAAGCAGTAGCACGCTCGCCTGGCATGCGTGCAGCCCGGGTTCGATCCTCAGCACCACATACAAATAAAGATGTTGTGCCCGCCGAAAACTAAAAAATAAATATTAAAAAAATTCTCTCTCACTCCTTCTCTGTCTCTCACTCTCTCTTTAAAAAAAAAACATAAACAAAAAAACAGGAAGCCACAATCACAGGGAGCAAAAGGGGAAATGATGTTAACCAAGTCCAAGATAGCTGTGCTGCTGAAGCTCCTGGTACTATTAAACTAAGCTGCCTGAACAGGAGCCCAGGAGTCCCTTAGTCACTGTTATCACCACTGCATCTCCAGCCATCTAACTGGACCTAACAGGAAATCAGACAGGAAGTCTGAGAAAAATTCTTACTGGCCAGTGGGGAAGATATTGTGAAAGAATAAATGTTAAACTGAAAGACCATAGACTCTTTGTAGAACATCACATTATGCAATGACAAAATATTTTGTAAGCTGGCACCTGAAATAACACAAAATTCACACCATATGCTCTTGAGCCTAGAGCTCTAGGGGAATGGGTTGGAAAGAATAAAATGGCCAGCATGTATCAGCAACTCTTGGCTGCATTACAGACATAAAAATGAGCTTAGGAGGGAATTGTCCTTTTTCCTCCTAGCAAAAATGAAAGGCAATCACATGTTCTGAAACTTTGGACCTTGAAGTATTGGAAATTCAATTGCTTTAAGACCCAAAATAGTAGGGAATAAAATCAAGAAAGCCTTTGACCAAAAAGGCTTTCAACCTGTGACAAATGTGTCTTCTCTTAACAGAGAAGAGCATAGAAGTGGGGAAGCAAAGAAATAAGGCAGATTTAAGAACTAGTCATAGGAAAGAACTCTGGATATTGTTATTAGTAGTAAATGGAGCCCATTCAAAATAAAAAACCCAGAAACTAGAACATTTTTGTTTTAATGATCTTATATAGGTATAGTTGACTTAAAACACACATATTTAATGATTACCATTTGAGTTTCAATATGTATACACTCATGGAACCACCACCACCATCAAATTGAGGAACATGTCTATACCTTCTGAAAGTTTCCTATAATTTTTTTAAAACATATTTTTTAGTTGTAGTTGAACACAATAACTTTATTTCACTTATTTATTTTTATGTGGTGCTGAGGATCAAACCCAGTGCCTCATGTATGCCAAGCAAGCTCACTACCACTTGAGCCACATCCCCAAGCCCTACTATATTTTAAGGTTTGTTTTGTTTTAGTTGTAGATGAACACAATTCCTTTATGTTATTTATTTTTATGTGGTGGTGAGGATGAATCCCAGGGCTTCACACATTTTAGGCAAGCACTTTACTGTTGAGAGCCACAGCCGAGTAGGAATGGCCCCTGGCATTTTGCCAGAAGTAATGGTTGAGAGGTGACTCCAGCAAGCCATTAAGATGATGATAATTAAGTTAAGCTGTGTATAATTGCTGTGACTGAATGATGCCGGATTGAAACAGGCTGTGTATTCAATTGTATACAGACCCCTGCTGACCGGCAATAGGGCGGCTCCAGCTGCCTTGGGCGCCTGCTACTTTGGAGTTCTCACGGGGATTCCTGAAAAATTCAAGTTGGTTGGTGAGTTTCCGGTGGAGGGAGTTCCAGTTTGTGTGTGGTGTCCCTGAGAGGGCACGTGGGTGGCGTTCCGGAGAGTTCGGAAATAAAGTTTGTTCCTGCTTGAGTGGCTCATGATTTGTGCCCAGCCAGATTGCAGTACTTTACCACTGAGCCACAACTGCAGCCCATTCTATAAGTTTTTGAAGCATTGTATTGCAAAAAAGCACAAGTTAGTACTGAGAATGTCTTTGATAGCTCAGATGTAAAACAAGCACAATGCTTTGTGATGGCTAATTTTCACAGTACTGGAGAAACACAGAGCCTTGTGCATGGTAGGTAAATGTTTTATCGCTAAGTTACACCCCTAGTCTGTGATTGTTTATTTTATGTGTCAACTTGACTGGTTTGGGTGTTGCCCAGAAGCTGGTAAAACATTATTTCTGAGTGCAAGAGTGTTTCTAGACAACATTAGCATTTAAATTGGTGACTGAGTACAGCAGGTGTCCCTGACCGAAGTGGGTAAGCATCAACCAGTCTACTGAGGGCCTGAATACAATGAAAAAGGCAGAAAGGCAAATTTGCTTTCTCTTCTTGAACTGGAATATCTTTCTTCTCTGCCCTGATACATGAGTGCTCCTAGTTCTTGGGTCTCTGTACTCAGATCAGGACTTACACAATTGGCTCACCTCATTCTCAGGCCTTTGGGCTGGGAATGGAACTATACCACTGATTTCCCTAGGCCTTCAGCTTATCAGTAGCATACTGTGGGATTTGTGAGCCCCAATAATCATGTAAGCCTATCCTTCTGTAAGGGACCGGCGAACGACGGAGGAAGAGACCACCAAGAGACCAACTCATGCAACCGCAAAAGGGGGTTTATTGAGGATCCAGCATGCTGGGGCTCCGTGCTCACTCAAGAAGGGAGAGCGGCCAAGAGCCCCGAGCAGAGGTTAAGCAGTGCTTAAGTACACTTTTTGGGGAGGGCGGGGGCTTTGCATACATCAGAGCAAATCATCATGAGGCGCGGGAATATCGAACAACAACTCTCAAACTTGATTAGCACATTCATTGGCGGGAACAAGTTGGGCGGGGGTGATAGGTTAGTCCTAAGAAGGGGGGTACATTCAAACTGATTGTTTGGGCCCTGAATGCCTACGTGCCAAACTGCACAGGGCCCAGGTTATATAACAACTAAATGGTCAGGGGGAATATCTACTGGGCAGTCCAGTGACTTATCCTAATAGCTACAGGAATTTCAGGTTTTGAGTGTAGCATAGGAGCTTAACAATACCTGGTCTTTTACATTTTAACTCAGGCTTTGCAGCTTAGAAGCTTTACAATGCCTGGTCTTTAACTTCAGTTTCTTTTATCCTTTCACTTCATAGTAAATCTATTTCTATTTATCTCCATATATGCTATTGGTTCTGATTCTCTGAAGAATCCTAACACAGCTCCCAAATTTCCACATACAGGAAGAAGGCTAAAAAACTTCTATGGTTCCTGAGGAGGGAATATTCTCTATAGTTTACTTGAGATGTGACTATGGAGAATAGGGAATAAGGAAGCCTCTACCTACACCAGGAGTGAATCCATGGGTTATAGGGAAAACAGACAATGATGTTTATTCAAATTAAAAAATCAGAGTCTAATGAGAGAACTTCACTGCACAGCAGGAAGGCTTTCTGTCAGTTTGGGCCCAAACCCTCTGAAAGGAAAGTGACCACAACACTCAGAGCAACCAAAAGATCTTTATTGCAGCAGTGCAAAAAAGAGAAAGGAAAGAAGGAAAGAGAGAGAGAGAAAAGAGAAGAGATGAACAGGGAGAGAGCAAGAGCAAGAGAGAGACAGAGAGCGCGCGTAAGAAAGATAAAGAGCAAGAGAGAGAGAGCAAGAGAGAAAGAGCAAGAGAGAGGGGGGCCTGGCAGGAGGGAGGTTTTTATAGCCCAAATCTAATGGGGCCTCTGAGTCTGCATGCTGCCTTGTTGGCCCAAGGGGGGGTTAAGTGTTCAGCCTTGAGCAGGGTTGAATGTTCAGACTTGAGGCAAACAGGTGATAAAGGACCAGATAGAGGGGGGTTTGAGTGCGTGGGCTATCTTGCAGCCAACATCTGTTCAGCCTGCCCTGCAGACAACACAGTTCAGCCTGCTCTGCACCCAACATTCCTCCCTTTTTGGTTTTCTAAGTGACATGGGGGACGGCGTTGGACCTAGAAGGGGAAGTGGAGGAATGTTCGGGGGACAGGTCTGAGAACACCAGAGCAGAAATAACACTCAGTGGCTACAGACAACTACTGTGGTAGGGGTAAAGTCCATAAAAGTTCCTTGAAGCCACAAGTCCTCAATGGCATCAAACCAGTCCTGGATGGAGGAGATTCTTGGTATCGGCCACTTGTCCTGTAGCAGGGACTCTAGGAAGTATTGGAGGTGGCTTGGTTGAATCCAGTAATGTTAAGAGTGACAGCCTGATTGCAGCCAGTGGAAGGGCAATCGCCTTAACCCATAAACTGAGAGTGGGTGGTGTCATGTCGCTTGTGGTTTGAGATAAAAACTTGAGAGAGAATAATGTTTAGTAAAAGAAGAAGAGGGTTGGCAAGAAATTTTGAGTTTGGTGGGCATGGTGGAAGTCCAGGACTGGACATTTGGAACAAGTGCCTTTTTAAGGTGGGAGACATGGTGGTACCAGGGGGAGTTTAGGTTTGATGCTTCCTTGTGGGGATACTGTAGAGCAGACAGAATAAGCAGAGTGGACGTGCTGGAGAGTAGTTCTCATTCCTAGGAAGTGAAAGAGGGGTTGTGAAAATTGGAAAAAGGGTTAGAGAGGGTTTTAGATGGGCACAGAGTCTCTGGAGCCAGAGGAGTTGGTCATGAGTCGTAGGTGTCCATCTTGGGCATCAGGGCTGGTAGTCTTAAAGAAGTAGTTGATTGACCAGCTTGCTGGTGAATTTGTGTATCTGATCTTGCATGAACTTCTGTAGGCAATTTAATAGACATGGTTCTATTAGGAGAAACATAGAGAGGACTAATAGGGGTCCTGTGAGGGGGAGGAGCCAAGGCCATACTTGACTGAACATTCCCCATGGAGCCTGTTGGCTTAGTTGCTGTCTCCTCTTTTCTAGCTGTTCTTGTCCTTCATTACTCCCAGGAATGACTGGTTTTGGCTTAACTGGTTTTGGTAGGTGTTTAAGATCAAGTTGGTCAAAATTGACTTTGTTTCTATTTATTGTTAAGAGTCAGCCAAGTTCCCATAGGGGTCACTCGTGGGGGAACTTGAGAGCAGCTTCTTAGTTCTGCTAGTGCCATTTGTGCTAGGATGGGTCCAGGTCTTGTTTGACCATGTGGCTTCCCTTGGAAGCATCAGGGATGTCTCCTGTCTCCAATGACCCTCCTATTCACAGCAAGTGCACTGATTGGCTTTTCATTCTCCAGTGGTCTCAATAATCTCCCTGATCAGGAGGTTATGAGGCCCAAAGTTGCAAAGCTCTTTAGAGAAGTTCCCTGTTCCCTGGATTCAGACTGTATCAGAGGGCCAGAGCCAAATATTGGTTTTCTTGGCCATTTTAGTTTAACTTTAATCTTGATCATAAACATCCAGCAAAGTCAGTTTCACCCTAAATTAAGAGTATTGGGCTTTAGCTGAAGTCTGGCCTACTTTGGAGTCATTCTGACATGTAGTAAGATGGGAAGCACAGCCTTATCCCAGGTAAGCCAGGGCTCTTTATAAATCTTAGGTAAAGTGTTCTAGTATTGAAGCTGATCTTTTTTTTTTAATATTATTTTATAAAATTTACATATATTGTTGCTTGATGTCACATGAATACTAGGTAATAGAGTATATTACATTTAAATTGTACCCAGTGTATAGAACTTTATATTAATCTTATTGATGACAGGTCCAGTTATAAAACATTAAATGATATAAATAAATCTCTGATATGTTATTTTTATAAGCCTAAAATAACCATGCAACCTTTTGGAGAACACCAGCTTGATATATATATATATATATATATATATATATATATATATATATATATATATATTTTAAAGCTTCTATCTTAATGACATATACCTGGAAAATATGAACACATTTAATATACAAAGAAGAGTAATAGTACCACAATTACTACTGATGTTTTTATATTGATCAAGTTTAGCTTTTAAAGAAATAACATACTACAATATTGCAAAATAACAGTTGTTGTTTAACCATAGTTGTATATACAGACCTTCTTTAGCACTTACTTAAACCCTCTTATTTACTTAATAGACTCTCTTATCCAGAAATACATTTTCCTTCTATTAAATCCATACCTAGAGCCTTCTAATTTCTCTTTCCTATTTGTTAACGCTTTCTTTTTTTACATTTTTAAATAATCCTTGTAAATTTCTGAATTTAGGCAAATTATTCCATTTTAATAAGAGATACTTTGTTATTTGCAGCACACAATTAATCACAACTGTTGACCATTTCATGAAAACATGAACAATGTTTAAGTATATAGAATTATACTGTTGTAGGAACAGACAAGGCAAGGCACCTAAGATAGCACTAAAGATAGGGAAATAGTTTTATTTGGTTGCAGCCAGATTTAGAGGGCACATCTTCTGCTGTAATCAATTAATCCCCTGAACCCCAAGTTTAGGTTGTTTCAGAATTTTGTACCCAACATGTAAGGGAAGGGGCTCAGAAGTTCGCAGTCTGCAGAAGTTCACAAAAAGCAGGGTTTTTTTTTCCCTCTGTTCTGGGCAAGTTAACCCTTCAAGGACACTTGGGAGGGGGAGAGCTTTTTCTTCCCTTTCTCTCCTCTTCCCCCCACCCTCCCCACCCCTGCCAGCTGTTATCATGGAGCCCAGTTGGTAACCTCCTTATCTTAGACATGTAGCCTTCTCTGTGAAGCCCCAGCTCAAAGCCAGTGGCCTTGTTTTACATATTTTGTGAAAAACTAGTAAGGGGGTGTCCAGCGCCTGGAGTGCTGATTTTTCCAGCCAGTGACCAAGTAAAACAGGGCAACAGGAAAATAGGAAGTTTATCTACATTGAACTTTTTGTAGAGATTCTTTTGCTGAAAGTCCTAAAATCAGCCATGGTGAAGATTTCTGGAGAAGGTCAGTTAAGCCTTTTCTGTGGGCCTGGTAGGGAGGGGAAGACAGGAAGGTGGGGCTGAGAGCAGCTGTGGATCTGAGAATGAGGAAGGAGTGATGTAAAAGAATAGGATTTTCCCTAGCAAGGAAAACTTGAGCAGTAGAACAGGTAGAGCAGAGGGGAGGATGGGAGTGAATATCCCAAAAAGCCTGTAAGGGACAATTCTTAGTAACCTGTTTTCAGTGATGACAAACCAACTTTAAAGGCCATTTTCACCAGATCTCTGATAGGGGTCCAAGGGCTCTCCTCAGCTGGTTTGAGCTTTGGGTTAGCTGGTAAGAGGACCTGGTGGGACCCGGTGTGGGCACTGACAGGAGAAGAGAGGAGTGAGTGGGTAGAGGGATTCCTTCAGTACTTGCTACCTCAGAAAAGAGGCAATGTTTTGAGGAAAGACGGTTGTTTAGGTTTTTGATCTAGTGAGTGGAGAGGAGAAGTCAGGTTGTTCAGGTGGGGGAGACAGTGGAGGGGCTGGGGCAGAAGGTTGAGGGTGAGGACCTATTTGAGCCGGGCGATAGGGTGGAAATTTATCAGTAGGGTCAAAAGTAGTGGATGAGTCTGGAGGAGGAGGAGATTGGGGATCAGTGGTTGTGGGTGTTGGTTTGCAAGCTAGAAGAATTTGCAGAGGTCTGCAAGAGGTGCAGAGAGCACAAGCAAGAAGAAAGCTTTGATATAGCAGCTTTTTACCCATTTTTTTGAATGCTCACAGTAATTGTAGAGATCCCTTAGAATGGAGGGATCCAGGGACCCAAAAGGAGGGCCATCTGCTTTGGTTGTCTAACGAATAAGTAGGCCAGGCCTGGGTGCTATATTTGATCAATTTTGGGGGTTTGATGTCTGGTGTCAAGGAGAGGGTTTTGAGGTTATCCAAGAGGCATTGTAGGGGAGAGTCGACCGGCAGAGAGGACACATTACCCATGTCGCAAAGTAGTATAAGGAGGAGGGAAGGGGATGCAAACTTGGTATAGAGGAGAAGGAAGGAGACGCAACCGTAGTATAAGAGAGAAGGAGGAAACTGATTTATTGGCAAAAGGGGCGTCCCCGCTAGAGCCAAAAATCAGGAGTGCCTTAGTGGCAGGTTCGAGCTGCAGAGATTGGTCGTCACCGAATCCTGACAGTCGAAGCTCTCGTCCTGGACAGAGCCAGAGCCGTGGGAGACCTTGGCCAAGGCTTTTCTTTTCGGGACCCCTCCTGGAGAGGCCGGAGACTTGCAGTGCCAGAAAGAGGGGAAAGAGAGAGACAGGGGAAGAGAGAGGAAGGGGAGGGTAAGTGTCTGAGGACTAGGATTTTAGGAGAGCCACCAAGATGGTGAAGGTCTGGGTGGACTGTGATGTTCAGTTCTCTGTTATGTGTCCCCAGAGGTTACACAGTCCTTCGAGGGAGACCTACAAAGCCTACGCTGGTAACTAACAGCTGGGAAGGGAAGGGAATAATTTTGAACCCAGGAGTCTATTCTGCCCTAGGAAGGAGTCCCTGAGGGCCACCGTAGCCTTAAAGGCTGTGGTGGGGTGTTTTCCTCCCCGCAGGTGGGGAATCCTCCTGACACCACCATTGGGTTTAGGACTCCAGGAAGGGGAAACTCACCAATCGAAGGCTGGTGGTGGATGGAGTTCTGGCAGTCGAGAAAATGGGTTCAGGCCTGGGTTCAGGCCATCCAGTGAGTGGCATTTCCGAAGGAAGAGGGACCCAAAAGTGGGTTTTAACCCTCTCCCGGGTTTCGGCACCAATGAAGGAAAGTGACCACAACACTCAGAGCAACCAAAAGATCTTTATTGCAGCAGTGCAACAAAAAGAAAGGAAAGAAGGAAAGAGAGAGAGAGAAAAGAGAAGAGATGAACAGGGAGAGAGCAAGAGCAAGAGAGAGACAGAGAGCGCGCGTAAGAAAGATAAAGAGCAAGAGAGAGAGAGCAAGAGAGAAAGAGCAAGAGAGAGGGGGGCCTGGCAGGAGGGAGTTTTTATAGCCCAAATCTAATGGGGCCTCTGAGTCTGCAAGCTGCCTTGTTGGCCCAAGGGGGGGTTAAGTGTTCAGCCTTGAGCAGGGTTGAATGTTGAGACTTGAGGCAAACAGGTGATAAAGGACCAGATAGAGGGGGGTTTGAGTGCGTGGGCTATCTTGCAGCCAACATCTGTTCAGCCTGCCCTGCAGACAACACATTTCAGCCTGCTCTGCACCCAACACTCTCAACAAACCCCCTAGTTTAGATTGTGACACCAAAAGACATTTTATATCAGCGGGCATGGTGGTGCTTGCCTGTAATTCCAGCAGTTCGGGAAGCTGAGGCAGGAGGATTGCAAGTTCAAAGCCAGCCCCAGCAATTTAGTGAGTGCCTAAGCAATTCAGTGAAGCCCTGCCTCTAAGTAAAATACAAAAAAAAAAAGGGCTGGGGATGTGGCTCAGTGGTTAAGTGCCCCTAGGTTCAATCCCCCATACAAAGAAGAGAAGAGAGAAAGAAATTTTATGTCAAAAATTTTAAAATTTTTTAAAAAGAGAAGAAAAAAATAAAAAATAAGGGGTTGAGGTTGTGGCTCAGTGGTAGAGCACTCGCCTAGCATGTGTGAGGCTAGGTTCGATCCTCAGGACCACATGAAAAATAAACAAATAAAATAAAAGGTATTGGGCTGGGGATGTGGATCAAGCAGTAGTGCACTCACCTGGCATGCATGCGGCGCTGGGTTTGATCCTCAGCACCACATACAAATAATATAAAGATGTTGTATCGCTGAAAACTAAAAAAATATATATATATATATATATTAAAAAAATTCTCTCTCTCAAAAAAAATTAAAAAATAAAAGGTATTGTGTCCATCTACAACTAAAAAAAAAGTTAAAAAAATATGTCAGCTTCTGAGAATTGTGGAGAATTGTTTCCACAATAACACATTGATGTTACCTTTGTTATTAAGCAACATTAATACAAATATATGCTGCTGAAGTAGCTATGCAAATATCAGACAAAATAGACTACAGGGGGCTGGGGATGTGGATCAAGTGGTAGTGCACTCACCTGGCATGCATGCGGCGCTGGGTTTGATCCTCAGCACCACATACAAATAAAATAAAGATGTTGTGTCGCTGAAAACTAAATATATATATATATATATATATATAAAAATTCTCTCTCAAAAAAAAATTAAGTGCATGCCAGTGCACTCACCTGGCATGCGTGCTGCCCGGGTTCGATCCTCAGCACCACATACAAAGATGTTGTGTCCACCGAAAACTAAAAAATAAATATTAAAATTCTCTCTCTCTCTCTCTCTCTCTCTCTCTCTCTCTCTCTCTCTCTCTTTTAAAAAAATAGACTACAGGGCATGGAGATAGAGAGGATGACTTCTAATGTTAATATATTCTATTTGCTAGCAAATGTACTTTAAGCTTGCATTCATTTAATAATAAAACTTAAAAATATAAGCTGGGGCGAGGCTGGGGTTGTGGCTCAGCAGTAGAGCACATGCCTAGCATGTGTGAGGCCCTGGGTTCAATCCTCAGTACCACATGAAAATAAATAAATAAATATATATATATATATAAAAGCTGGGCCCAGTAATGTGTAACTATAGTCCTAACTACTCGGGAGACTCAGGCAGGAGGATCACTTGAGCCATGAGTTTAAGGCCAACCTGGGCAACACAGCAAGACTCCATGTCAAAAAAAAAAAAAAAAGAAAAGAAAAAGAAAGAAAGGGGTGGGACAAGCAGAAGGAGATGAATATATAATCTAAGTGGGTGATTTTGCCTCTGACAGATAGAAATATATTTGCAACCAAAGGGCAATGGAGGTGGGTAAGAGCAAAGTTGTATTGGATTAAGCAAAAAACACCAGATGGTAAATGGAATCCCCAGGAACAATGGAAAATAATAGAAATGGTAACAAGGTTAATACAACAGATACCATAAATATACTTGCTCTCCTTCTTTCAAATTCCTTAATAGAACTAAATTACATAAATTAATAATTATAACAATATATTTTTAAAAACCCAAAATATTATTGGGTTTGTAGCATATATACATGTAAATATATAACAATATTACAAAAAATGGGTGGGAATAGAGCTATATAGGAGTAACATTGCTATAACTTTCTGGAATTAAGTTAGTATAAATATGAGGTATATTTGAATCAGTTGAGATGTATATGATGAGCTATAATACAGTAAAAGACTAATTAAAGGAATTAAAATGCTATACTAGAAAATATTCACTTAACGAAGAACAAAGAATCGGAGAAATCAAAGATGAGCCATATAGATAACACAAAGTAAAATGGCAAAAATAAATCTCACTAAATCAATAGCAATACTAAATAGGAACAGATTAAACAATCCACTCAAAGGGAAAATATTGTTAGACTGGATTTTAAAAAATCTAAAATCCAAAGATACTTTAGGTTCAAAGATACAAATAGATTGAAAGTAAAAGGATGAAGATGGTGGAATGAAATGGACATCATTACCCTATGTATTGAAGATACAAATGATGTGACTCTACTTCGTGTACAACCAGAGAAATGAAAAATTGTGCACTACATGTGTATTATGAATTGAAATTCATTCTGCTGTCATGTATAACAAATTAGAATGAATATTTTTTTAAAAGGAAAGTAAAAGGATGAAAAAATATATCATGCAAGCAGCAACATAAGAAACCTGTAGTGTCACAGAATGGGAGAAAATTTTTGCCACCTGCACCTCATATGGAGCATTAATGTCCAGGGTATATGAAGAACTCAAAAAAAAAAAATAACACCCCAAACCCCCACATAACCCAATCAATAAATGGGCAAAGTAACTGAAAAGGCACTTCACAGGAAGAAACACAACTGATCAACAAATATATGAAAAAATGTCCACATCTCTAGTAATTAGAGAAATGAAAATTAAAACTACACTGAGATTCCCTCTTACTCTAGTTAGAATGGCAATTATCAAGAATACAAGTAACAACAACAAAGAATACAAGTAACAACAAATGTCGGCAAGGACATGGGGGAAAAGGTACACTCATACATTGAGAGTGGGACTGCAACCACTCTGGAAAGCAGTATGGAGGTTCCTCAGAAAACTTGAAATGGACTCATCATTTGACCCAGCTGTCCCACTCTTCGGACTATACCTAGAGGACTTAAACTCAGCATACTACAGTGATAATGTTTATAGCAGCTCAATTCACAATAGCTAAACTATGAAACCAACCTAGGTGCCCTTCAACAGATGAATGGATAAATAAAATGTGGTGTATATACACAATAGGATATTACTCAGCAATAAAAAGAGTATCTTTATGACTTTTGCCAGAAAATGAATGGATCTGGAGACTATCATGCTAAGTAAAATAGGCCAATCTCAAAAAAATCAAAGGCTGAATATTCTCTCCAATATGTGGACACTAACACACAATAAGGGAGGAAGGGTGGAGAATAGCAGTTAAGTGGATTAGACAAAGGGAAATGAAGGGGAAGGGGAATGGGAATCAGAGAGACAGTGGAATGAATTGGACATAACTTTCCTATGTGAATATATAAATACACCACTAGTATTTATATATCCACATCATGTGTAACCACAAGAATAGGATTCTAATTAGAATAAGTTATATTCCTTGTATATATAATATGTCCAAATACACTCTATTGTCATGTATATCTAAAAAGAACAAATTAAAAAAATAAATCTGTAGTGTCTATAATAATGCCAGACAAAACCATATGCATGTGTATCAAAGTGCATTCTACTGTCATGTATAACTAATTAGAACAAAGAAAAAAAAAACAAATGCATGACTAGAAATAAAGAGGTACATTTTATAATGATAAAAAGGTTAATCCTTCAGGAAGATATAAACATATATATGCCTAACAATAGAACTCCAAAATATGTGAAGCAAAAACTGACAGAACTGAAAGAAAAAATAGACAATTCAAAAAGAAGAGTTGGAGACATAAATACTCAACTTGCAGGAATGGGTAGAAGAGAAATACAGAAGATAAGCAAGCAAACAAAAGGCTCAAACAACATAATCCAGCTAGATTTAATTTTTTTCTTTTTAAAGTCATGTTTGTTGAGATATAATTTATATATGGTACAATTTACCCCATTTAGTTTTATAGTTATATGAATTTTGATAACACAAATATAAAAAATGACAACATATATATGGATATATAGTACTACCATCAAGATTCAGAATGATGGGCTGGGATTGTGGCTCAGCAGTAGAGCCCTCGCCTAGCATGCGCGGGGGCCCTGGGTTTGATCTTCAGCATCCCATAAAAAATAAATAAATGGAATAAAGATATTGTGTCCAACTACAACTAAAAAATAAAAAGATACAGAATGTTACCTTGTTCTCCTTTACTTCTTTTTTAAAAACAAATAGAGAAATTAATTTTAATATATTTTCATTTAACCCAATGGATTACCAACAAAATTTGCAAAGAAAATAATTATTAGTAAGATATTTCATATTCATTTTCTTTGTCCTAGTAATTCTTTGGAATCTAATGTCTATTTAACACTTAACACACCTCAATTCAGACTAGACACATTTCAAATACTCGGAGGCCTCATGTAACCAATGGCTGCCATATTGGCTCCTTTCTCCATCTTTCACCTTTTGGTGAGACATATGTTGTAGGCTGCATAAGTCCCCTTGTTATGTGGTTTCTTGGTGAGTTGCATCAGAAAGGGACACCAAAGAGATGAACTTAGAATATACAAGAGTACAGCAAGGTGTTTTATTCCTCCATATAAGACTCTATTAGACTGTGAGTTGGTTTCTACATGCTTTTGCTGGGAATAACTTCAGTTAGGTCCTTCTCCTACAAGTTTGTCATAATGGCTTTCTCTTATTTCATCTCCTACCTCCCCAAGTTTATAGAAGGAAAGGTGCTTCACAAAATTTGTTAGTTTTCCTCAACCTTGCCCTTACCTTTATAAATACCTTATTAAACAATTTTTACTCTGATTGATCTTTTTATCCTTGAATCTTGAATAATGGATTTTAAATTATAAGAGAGTAAAATATACCTCATCTCATATCACAGGCAATGTATAGACACATACCAGATTAATTATATATTAAGATATAACATATAAAATGCTAAAACTTTTAAAGAACATATTTGTATAACTTTGTGAAGAGAAATGGAAAACAAAAAATGTGAAATAAACAAAAACATGAAAAATTAGATGATATTGTAGTTAAAATTTTTATGTGTAAAAATTTATCAAAAAGAGTTGAAAGATATAATGAATTGTATTACAGGTCATTTTTGTTTATTTTTGATACTTAGCTTGACTTTGTTTCT